AGACACTCAGGGTGAGGGCCAGGCTGGAAAAAAGCCACTTCCCTACAGAGGATTTGTAAAACGTTTTTATGAAAACTGGAGGCACTGGATGAGCTGTTGGCACTCAGGGAGATGATGTGGCTGGGAACAGGTCCACGTTCTACCTGCAGCACTTTAGCATTCCATTGACTGCAGTCCTTATTTTTTTCCATGCTGGGGCCGGGATGCAGAGGGATCCACCCTCCCTGCCTTCAGCAGTTGTCCTTACCCAGCACAGGTGAGTTGCACACTCCTGAATCCCCCTGCTCTGTGCAGCAGCTAGGACTGCACATCCAACCACTCTGCCAAGTGCATTTCCATATTATGACTCTGTTCCTTAGGGAATAAGAAGCTTTAGTAGAATACCACAGAATGATCTCAACCAACAGACACAAGAACCTTAAAGTACCTGGATTTAAATCATATCTCCTGTTAAATAATGAGTTAAAATGACACTGCCAGCCTGAGCTAATGAATTTTCTTCTATATAAACACATCACTGCACTATTCATTTCAGCTTCCAGATCCCTGGTTCACATCTGAGGCTAGAAATTACCTTGAGATCATTGCCTCCTTGTAAAGGGACTGTAACTGTTCTAGAGTGTTCAGTACTTCAGTGCATCAGCTCACATCCCATTAGAGCACTTGATGTTCATATCCCACCCAGTATAAAAGGCACCTACCTCCATTAAGCATTTGCTGAGCAGAGAAGTGACAAGCCTGAAGGAAAATGAGGAAGGTGATTTATCCATCTCCCCAACTCTGGCACACAGACCAAGTTCTTGTTCATTTTAAGGAAGCAAAAGTGCCATTTCAGTCTACCAGGAGGACATCCCTGACCCAGCCAGCCACCTCTGAATTGCACAGGACACCATGACCAGCCACATGAAGGTGGCTTTTTCTTACACTAATACCAATTGAAAAGGCCATGATTTCTTTCTCTGAATCCTCTCAGGAACAAGGAAAGAGCTTTACACTTCTCTGAGCAGCTCATGCTATGGACAAAATAGAGTCCTCAAAGTCTTCTGCACCTGGCCTGACCAGACCTTAGTTCCATCGCAGCTCACTGGGATTATCTATCTGAGTATTTACCCCTTGCTCACTTACACTAATAATCCCAAATGGACTCAGTTTTTTCCCTACTTTTGTTCCATTTCTCACTCCCCAGAAGCTTGCCTTTTAATGTCTGCCATTTTCAGGTATTGCTGTAGCTGGGACATCCATCCTCTGCAGTGTTAAGGAATCTAAATATTCTCCTTAAGTTAAGGTGTTACCTGTTCTTTTGAATCCAGAAAGTCCAAGTGACAGGGCTCTAATTGCCTGTACATGACAGCTTCTCCCTCTTCCTAAGCACTGTATGTCAACATATCTCTCTAACAACTTAAATTGGATTTTTTGACCAATAGCTGCTCTGAGCCACATCGCTGCCAGTTCACAAAAACAGTTCTGAGGAGGAGGAGTTTCTTTCAGCACCTGGTTTAAATGCTACAATAGCTACAGAGTTGTCTTAGGGCAGATTGCAGCTGCCCAGGGTAAGGTTAATGAACAGTGCCTAAAAAAATCCTCTTCTCCCTTCAGCGTCTTTCTGAATGACAGGTATGAAAATAGGTCAGTCTGAGGTCTCTTAACAAGATGCAGCTGAATTCTTGGGACAGAACAAAAAAAATAATATTTCCCTACCGTCCTTACCTACAAACACAACCTTTCTGAGCAGGCTGTTACCCGATTTTCCTCACTGGTTGGGAAGGAGCTTGGAAGTGACAGTTCCATCCCCACTTACAGGGCAACATCACACTGAGAATAAAGTACAGCCTGTGATTACTGCAGCTGCTCTGGTAATTCACTGTTTACAAGTCCTATTCTAGACTCCTTCTTAACAAAATCTTTTGCAATAAAGCAGATGTCACTCTAAAAAATGTCCTTCAAGTTAAAATCGCAGCTGCTGCTTTCTGGATAAGCTCACTGTAATGTGAAATCTCTTAAATGTATTTGAAAAAGGTCAAAACCTGTGTAAAACAAAATACTAATAAAACCACTGAGTAAAATAATTGCATTGCTAGTATTTGTCTAGACATCAAAACTATATGGTTATCCCTAACCTCAAAACCTTTCACAGGCCATCACCAAGCCTAGTCTGGATTTCCTCTCTGCTTAGCCCACTCCCAGCTTCCTTTTCTGCTCCACAGAGAAGCTGCCAGGTGGGTGTTCTCACCTGCAGAGATCTTCTGTGTGGTCTTGCCACAAGTGCCCTCCTTACATCAAGGCTGCACTGCCTCCGGTGCTCCTGCTGCCAGGTTTTGTTTTATCCACAACGCTTTGAAAATTAAGGAAAATCCTCCACAAACTAATCTAAGATATGGAGGCTCAGCTTAGTTAATAAAATTAATGGAAGTATTGTCTTTGAGAAACAGTGATCAGTTTTGCATTAAAAAATTAATAACTGTTAGCTACAAAGTTAAGCCTCAAGAGCCAGAAAATAGCAAAACATGGACTATGCAGATGGGCAGATGTGAAACACAGCAAGGAACAGTGTCTCTGCAATGACTTACTGCAGATGTCAGAAAGCCACAGTCACAGGAAGAGAGGGTTTATACTCAGAACTGATAACTCTATTAATAGGCTTGATTTCACACCTCTTTGCTGGTGGTTCTTGCAAACCAGTAGCTTTTAATAAAGAAATGGATGCTACTGTAGTTTGTCTTATGTGGTATGCTATATTTAGTACCTTCCCCTATCACCTTCCCAGTGTTGAACAAGCACAGCTAAAAACCTTATTAGTGGAAGGGACGTGTTCAACACCTGAGCTGCGCTGTGGAACATGGTGATCACAGGTGTCTCCAGTTAGAGCCCGGGAACGCTCCCCGCCCCATGCTGCCTGCAGGATGCGATCTCCAGAGAGCGGCAATGAGCCCCAGCTGCTGCCGGGCCCGTCCGCGGTACCCTAAGGTACAGTCTCCTTTCTCAAGGGCTTCACTCACTATTGTACCGCACGCTCCTTGCGCTGATGATGTGGCACGCAAGCGCCAAGGTGCCCGCAGGAGCGCCCGCACAAAGCCCCATCAGGTCCCGTGCAGGTGTGAGAGGGGTTAAAGACCCGCCGAGCCGCTCAGCCCCCGGCAGCCCCGCGGCGGGGGCGCGTAGAAAGGTGACGAGCCAAAGGGAGCCCCGGCAGCGCTGGCCTGCCCTGCCCCCGGGCCCGCCTCACCAGACATGGCCGCGCCGCCGGCCCGGCGCTCAGCCCGGCACACGCGGCGCGTCCCGCCGGGCTCGGGCTCGGGCCCCGGCGGCAGCGCCGAGCCGGCACCGGGGGCCGGGCGAGAGAGGCTCGGCGGGGCTGCGGCTCCCTGAAGAGGGAGGGAGGGATGGAGTGAGCGACAAGCGACGATCCCGCTCCGTCTCCCCGGCCCGCCGCGGCTCCTCCCCAGCCCGCCCGGCCCGGCCCGGCCCGGCGCGGCGCGCCGCGCTCACTTGTCCCTGATGATGGTCTGCAGCTCCCGCAGCTGGTCGTTCATGGGCAGCAGCTTCAGCTGCGGCCCGATGGCCGGCGCGCCGCCCTCCCCCACGGGGATCGGCGCCGCCGCCACCACCCCGTTGCTGCTGCTGCTGCTGCTGTCCGGGCTGGGGCAGCCGCTGTCCTCGCTGGGCTCGGCGAAGCGGATCAGCCGCGAGCCGCCGCTCGCCGTGGCCGTGGCGGCCGCCGGCGGCTCATCCTGCGGCCGCGGGCCCAGGCGCTGGTTCTGGCAGGGCATCGCCTCCATGCGCCGGGGCCGCGCCCCCGTGCGCGCCGCCGGGGCGGGGGGAGCGCGCCCGCCGCCCGCGCTCCATTGGCGGCCGCCGCCGCCGCTCAGGCCCGCGGCGGGAGCGCAGCGCGGGGGCGGGACCGCGCCGGGCGGGCACGGACTGCCCCGGCCCTGCCCCGGCCCTGCCCCGGCCCTGCCCCGGCCCTGCTCGCTCCGGGACAGCCCCCGGGATAGGCATAAAGGCCTCCTTTGGGTCACTGTATTTAAATTGAGAAAGGAGGCCCATGGGGCTTAGAAAATGAACAAGGGGTTTTGACCCATTTTTTCTATTCAGTAAATATGTACACATCATTGCCAGGATCTTACACATCAATGCCAAACTTTCCAAGGGACACCCAGGCAAACACAAGGACAGGGAAGGGATAGAACCCCTCTGCCAGAAAATCATCTACAGCCTGAAATTCCTGAAGGCTACTCTCTTCTTCCTCTGTACATTTTGGACATCTAACAGGAGGTGGACTCCCAAAGGGCCCAGGAAACACCTCCCAGGAAAATGCAGCCCCTCCACTGCCTGAGAGCAACAAAGCCCCGAGAGTCACTAAAGCCCACGAGACTGACAGGAGATGAAAAAGTAACTGGATTTCATGACTTACTGTCCAATACTTAATGAAATACTTGAAGACTGTTGCAGCAATATACAAGCAATACAACAAAGAATAGGCTAAGAACAGTAGAAAGAATTTGTAGTTAGAAAATCCAATGCAGTTATTCACCCTGGAGGACAAAAGCAAAGTTGAAATCAGGATTGGTGCAGCACACAGTGGTTGTAACATAAAGAGCACGAGCAGTTCTAGGGGGTTGAAAGCCCTGGATCACACAACCGAATTTGCCAAAGAGCAGCTCCCCTCAGTGGCCGAAAGGGAACGGAGCTGGTGGCTCTGCTTTTCACTCCAACCCTTCCCGCGGGCCGAGGAGAAGCACAGCTCAGAGTGCTGGAATTGTTTTAAGGCTGGTGCCGCAGGTAAATGGATCCCAAAGGCAGCAGCTCGTTCCTCCTGTCTGCGTCATGTCTGCCGAGGAAATCGGAGCTGGGAGTTCTGTGCTGCTTTATTCCTTTGCAAACCTCAGGAGCCGCCTCACCCCTGCCTGTTTGCTTACATACAGCCCAATTAACCCCACACTTAGTGAGAATTCTCCCTGCACAGGACAGCTCTAGAAAGGAACACAGAGATGTACAAAAAACCCCAGTGGGTGTTTGTGTCAGAACTCAGGCTTGGAAAATCCTCTACAATTTTGATCACCAGGAAGGTTCAGGTAGGAAAGTGAGGAAAGTGTTTGGTGTTGTTTCTGAATTCTTAAATCTTCCTTTTTTTCTTTAAAGAAAAAGAGGTATTTAAGAAATGTAGTAGCAGCAATTCTGAAAGGTGTAAAGCTCAATTATTCTATGCAGCTTTCTGCACAGACTGTCTAAAATAAGAGTGACATATAGACATGTAGCAGTAATATATATAAAATAGGCTTTCTTTTCTGAAAAGTGCCTTTAAAAAAGAGAAACTGAACGAGAAAAGAAAGACAGGGACTCACCCTCTCTCCTCTTTCCTTCCCAGGTGTTGGTGTGTGATGTAAAAGCAGCAGTGGGCTGTGGGAAATAACTCTGAACTGGCAAACAGTGAGTCCTTCTTACTGAGTCCAAAGCCATTCCTGAAGAAGAAAGCTGGAATCATGCACTGCACACACTGCATTTCTCCTTTCCTCTCTGGCACACCTGTCAAGCCTTACAGCTTTGGCAGAAAACCATCCCAAGGCACCCAAACCAGCAGTGCAGGCTGAGGCCCCGGCTGCAGACAGACTCCCCCTGCATTCCTGGCTGTTCCATCCTCCTGAGCGCTGTCTCAGAGCAGCTGCAGGAGCAGAGCTGATGTTCAGCCCACACCTTCTCTTTGCTCCCAGGTTCCAGATATTCCCTGTAGCTGCTCAGGGCCGTCATTGACCGTGTGGGAAAGACAAATTTCCAACGTGCCTGACAGAGCTGCGGAAGGAGCGAAGGTGAGGAGGGTCCCAGAGGAGTTTCCAGGCTTCTCCATTCCTTGACAGGCTCCAAAGACACACAGCCCTGCCTCACACGGCTAAAAACCTCCTTGTTCAAGTCAGGCAGTTCCAGCAGGGTCACAGCCTCCGAGGCTCCCCTGGCCCATTAAACTGCACTACTAATGGGCTCTGAGCCCCCCAAATCTGTCCCTGCCTATTCCTTCCTTTCTCCCACCTTCCTCCCAACATCTCAACGTGACATTGTAAATTTTCCTTTAAATTGTGTGTTTCTCTTACCAGTTTCCATGGCCAAACACCTCCTTAGTGGTGCCTTCTGAGCAGGAGGAAAGGAGGAAAGCTCCCATTTGTGCCTGGGCCAAGGCGAGCGCTCTGTGGACAGAAGGCTCTGTGTGCCCTCGTTCCCTTGGCAGGAATAACAACCTCGGCCACTTCAGGGGAGGTGACTGGATTAGCAGGGGAGAAAGGGAAAAAAGGGAAGAAGAAAAGGAACCAGTAACAGCCAAAAAGTCTCAAGCATGGCCTGGTGTATTTACAGTGAGCCAGAGCACAGGTTGGAAAAAAACCTGGAGAAGGCACAGGGATCAGGACATCCCAGAGTCACAAACTGCCCTGGATTCACTGCAGGTTTCATCTTCTCACAGGCAGTAAATCCATGACCTGGGCAAGGCTGGATACCTCTGTTTTGTGCTGGGCTGATGAAACAACACTCAGTTGTTTCTTGAGCACTTCAAGGAATGGTAACTCCACCACTGTCCTGGGAGATCCCTTCCAATGCCACATTTTCAATGAAAACAACTGGACATAGTATTTTTGTAACATAATCAAACACATTTTAAAACACAGCTCTTTTATGCAACATATTTAATTGGCTGTGAGATATAATTTAGACTGCATTTCCAAAGTGTGTGTAGCTGCTCAGTTCTTAAATGCAGGGTCTAAGGATTAATAGTTCATATTTTTCTAGAAATATGTGCAACAGTTGCTATCTCCAAAAGAGCACTGTGCCTTTCAGCATGCATTCTACTTGCCAAAATTATTTTACACCTCTAAAAAAGGGCTTCTATCTGCCCCCAACCTTGTCCTGTTTGTCTATTTTTATTTTCTTTGCATTACTCTGTTCTCATTAATTTTCCCTCTTGCTTCATATACTTCCTTGAAGCATTCCCCTCCTTGTGTTCATACCCTTCCAATACCATTGACTGGAAGTGATGTTTGAATATTGATGCTTTCCTTTTTCCTCTAGCCTGACTCCTGAATTGATTTGGATTCCCACAGCCCCGGGGGACTTTCTTTTAGGCTGATGCCTGCCACAGCTGGAACTGTCAATGTTATCATACAGAGCAGAGGTTTCAGTCTCCCTTTGGCATATTGATTATCTGGAATTCAGTGTCGATTCTTTCCGTTTTATAGGAATGTTATTAATTATAAATCTTACTTCTAGAAGATATAAGTACTCATTGCTTGAAGTGAAATTCATTGCGGTGCTTGAATCATATTAAGCGCCTTTAATGAGAAAGAAGCTAAGAACTTCAAGAAACTCTAAATTTAATGTTATTTCACCTCCACAAGATGGGTGTTGTATTTGTGTTGCTGAGCTGCTTCTGTAAACTTTTCTAGCCAAAAAACAAACATGTTCTCATTCAGTACACTGACCTTGTTCTCAATCACTAGTTTGTTGTCTACACAGCTCCTGGAAGAAGGCCAGATTAGATATCTTTTAGGATTCTATTCACTGATCTCCTTTGTGGTGAGTTATTTCCATTACTGGAGCTTCTATTTCTTCAACTGAGCTGCTTCTGTCATTTTTCCAGAATGCCAGCTCTGGAGCAGGCATTGATTTGTCTGTCTCCAAGGAGATCCTCTGCTTCCACAGCTAAATCTGCAGAGAAATAGATATTTATTTTGTGGTGAGCTACTTTAAACAGTGTAAGTTCATAAAACTCCTCTGTTGGCTTTCTGTGTCTCTATCATGAGCTCTGTTCTCCTGGTTCAGTCACTCTGGGATAGAGTAGAGTAACTACTACAGGAATGTGGGCTCTTTTCACACTGGGTGTCTCTCAGGGTTTGAGCAGTGCCTTGTGCAGGTATCAGTAATCTGAGATCACATAAATAAAGTGGTATCAGAAGGAGAAAGAGAAGATCAGAACTGGAAACAAGACTGAAATATTAGCAGGAGGAAATAAAGCCAGTAGCGTGGGAGAGTTATTAAAGAAGGAAGAGCAGCTAAAGGGAGAATACTCATGTCAATATTTTACAGGTGGAAAAAATAAAATGGTACATTATCCAACAATGACAAGGCTGAGATGACGCAGGGGTTGTGTGGTTTGACAATAAAAGTTTGCTAAGGGATTTGTAAGTCTCTGTTAGAGGCAATGGAACTGTGAGATCCTGTGACAGCACAGCACAGGGTGCTGTTATCCCTGTGCAGGATGTTCCATGTAGCACGTGTCCGAAGAACTTAATATGGTCAAAACACTGGACACATTTCACAGGGCTGACAGCCTGTGCTTCATGTTGGATTGACTCATAAAGCACCACATGTGCACACAGACACTGTGCATGAAACCATTGCAGCAGTGCATGTGGGAAAATGGCAGAAATGTTTGAAATCACTCAAAAGATGCTGCAATGTTGGCCAGCCTGTCTGTCCAGGCTATCGCAGACAGAGCTGTGATTATCCCATTTTGCCTGGTCAAACCTCCATGTAGAGCAGAGCACAGGGAAAGAAGCAGATGTGTGGAAGCCAGATGCCCAGAATCCCTGTTTATCCCTCTGAACAATGCCACGGGGCGGCACTGTTCAGACCCAGCTCTGCCAAATGCAATTATGATGAAGAATTAGATTAGTGCCAGAGAAATGTCGCCTCTGTCGTTTGAAGTGGATCCTGGTCAGGAGCAAAGTTGCGTATCAAAGTACAGACTAGAGAAATCCTGCCTCATTAAAAATCAACTTTAAGCCAATTGTCCTCTTCCTTTCTGTCTGTCTGTCTGTCTTTCTCCCCTGCAAATGAGCTTACAACTCTCCCTCAAGGCAAGAGCATCAGCAGTCAAGCTCTGGTAGCTTTGAAGAAATCTTTGTACGATTAGAAATGCCACACAGAGTTACAGCCTTCTGACAGCTCTGCATGCCGATCACATGGGAGTATATAGGCCATTGGAAATGTAATCCATGGCATAGCTCTATCTTCCTAAGTGGGTGTTTAATTAGGAACTGTACTATTGCTGCATTATTCTGGCTCAAAGGAACTACGTCTGAGCTGTGTGGGCTGGAGGAGGCCTCTGAGGTAGCTCAGAACTTAACCCTGGAAGGGTGTGGAATACAGGATTAGGTCTGTATGGAGATGTATCAGCTCACATGTCATCCAGAGTCTGTGCTCCTCATGGTGCTGCAGGCCAGGGCTTTTCTGTGCCCCAGGCAAGGAAATTTCCTGGGCAGCTGCTCTGTGGGGGATCCAAAATCCAGAGAGACTGTGTGCCAGCTCAAGCACTTCTGTCTGTCTGCAGCAATAGCAGTGTCCAACTGTATCAGGACAAAGCATGGGAGTGCTACCAGCAGCTTAGAAGGAGCACCCTGCATGAAGTACTGACAGAGCTGCTGACCAGTATGAGCGAGGCTTGCAGCTGTGCGGTTTGTCCTGAGGACACCCATATTCCAACAGTGCAGTGCCTCAAAGAGAAGGCTTTTATCTGTACAGTCAGAAGAGAAAGGCTTCTGAGAGGGGCATGGCTCAGAAGGGCCTGGTTCATTCCAGCTTAGAAGGGCCTGGTTAATTCCCAGCTCAGCAGGGGTGTGCCTGTTCCCCTCAGGGTGCCATTGGAAGATGAGAGCAGCCCCTTTCTGGATGCTCTTGTGGGACTGAGGGCAGCCCCTCTCACTGCAGGCTTTGGTAGGGCTGTGGGCTGCTCCTCTGGGAGTTGCTGTGGTTGCACTCAGGACACTTGAGACACCACAGCGGGGCTGAGGGCTGCTCATCTCTGGGCTCCATGGTGGGGCAGAGGGCAGCCCCTCAGAGAGTGCAATGGCAGGACCAGGGCTGCTCCTCTCTGAGTCCAATGGTGCGGCTGAGGGCTGCCCCTCTCTGGGTGTCATGGTGGGGCTGAGGGCTGTCCTGCTCTGGGCACCATGGTGGGACTGAGGGCTGCACCTCTCTGGTGGGGCTGAGGGCTGTGCTGTTCTGGGCACCATGGTGGGGCTGAGGGCTGCACCTGTCTGGTGGGGCTGAGGGCTGTGCTGCTCTGGGCACCATGGTGGGGCTAAGGGCTGTGCTGCTCTGGGCACCATGGTGGGACTGAGGGCTGCACCTCTCTGGGCACCATGGTGGGACTGCGGGCTGCACCTCTCTGGTGGGGCTGATGGCTGTGCTGCTCTGGGCACCATGGTGGGACTGCGGGCTGCACCTCTCTGGGCACCATGGTGGGACTGAGGGCTGCACCTCTCTGGTGGGGCTGAGGGCTGTGCTGTTCTGGGCACCATGGTGGGGCTGAGGGCTGCACCTGTCTGGTGGGGCTGAGGGCTGTCCTGCTCTGGGCACCATGGTGGGGCTGAGGGCTGTCCTGCTCTGGGCACCATGGTGGGGCTGAGGGCTGTGCTGCTCTGGGCACCATGGTGGGACTGAGGGCTGTGCTGCTCTGGGCACCATGGTGGGACTGAGGGCTGTGCTGCTCTGGGCACCATGGTGGGGCTGAGGGCTGTCCTGCTCTGGGCACCACGGCTCAGGACACGCACCATGGGGAATGAGGGCAGCTCCTCTCAGGGCGCTATGGCAGGGCTGAGGGCAGCCTCTGTCAGAGTGCTATGGGGGTGCTCAAACTACCCATCTTGGGCCACCATGGGGCAGCTCTTCTCACAGAATGCCAGAGGGAGGCCCAGGGCAGCCGCTCTCTGCCCGCCACGATGGGTCTGAGGGGGTCGCTCTCGCGGTCCCGCCAGGGCGGCTCTGAGGGCAGGTCCGGTCCAGCCTCCCTCAGGGCGGCCAGACCCGCCCCGCCCCGCCCCGCCCGCCCGCGGGTCCGCCGCCGTCCCACAATCCCCTGCGCGCCGGCCCTCGCAAGATGGCGGTGCTGGGGGCACCGCGGGGCCTGGCGGCCGCAGCCTCCCGCAAGCGGCGGCTGCTGCTCGCCCTGGCCCTGCTGCGCCCGCCGCCCGCCGCCGCCCTCGGCTGCTTCTCCGGGGGGACCGTAGGGAGCGGACGGCGAGGAGTCCGAGCCGCCCCGGGGGGCGCACAGGTAGGTGGGGGCGCCGGGGCGGGCGGTGAGGGGCTGGGAGGGCGCCGGGGCGGGCGGTGAGGGGCTGGGAGGGCGCCGGTGCCCGCAGCGCTGTGCCGCCGGCTCTGCGGGCACCCCCGGTTCGTCCTTGCCTGGCCGGTATGGGCGCCCGCTCGGCCCGGTGCCGCCGGCCCGGTGTCGGTGCCGCCGGCCCGGTGTCGGTGCCGCCGGCGGGGCGGCCCGGGGCTCCCGGCGGCCACGACCCGCGGGGACCGTGCGGAGGGGCCGGGCTGCCGTGGGGGCTCTCCGTGGACAGGCACTGAAAGGCTCCGTGTCTGTGAAGCGGACGCTTTGGATGTGTGTGTAAAGGACTAACTTGTGCTGGCAGCGAATTCTGCCCCTCTGTGCGGAAAGGCGGTTGGATTGGGATGCTGTCTGTCAGCTAGGGAGGGCTGTAATATGTCCTAGTGAATTATTTTTTATTGCAAGTAAAATACTGAGTACTTTATCGCAGACTAAATCCAGCTTTAAGTAATTCATGTGCATTTTTCAAAGTGGCTTAAGGAAGTGTATTCCAAAGACTGAGGGAATGAACTTTCATAAACTCTCAGCTTGTAATTCTGTTTGATAATAAACTTTTTTATCCTCTCAGTTTACTGCTGTTTACGAGTAACTTTCCTTTGTCAGTCACATGGATTAGTTTTTCCTGACAGGCAGAATTCTGTCAGAGACTACAGTCAACTTTGTGTTACTAGATGAGATGAGCAGGACTGAAAGGAAAAATTTTGGAGGTTTTAATTTTGAAACTTGTGCAAGAGGCTGAGAGCTAACGTCGATGCAGATCAAATATTTTACTCATGTATTTGTATACATTAAAATACACCTGAATACTCAGTATTGTGTGGTGTTCCTGGAGATGTATTTCAGCTGTTAGGGAACAAACAGCAATGTTATCATGGTGATGAATAGAAGTATTAATTATATTCCCGCTTTCCTTTTGAATGACTTTATTTTCATGTGAGAAATGCCAGTCCCTGCTGATCAGTTTTAATTGCTATGTGTCACTAAATGTGGATTTGCACTAGATTTGCTGAACTAGAAAGCTAATACTACATCTGTGGGATATATATATATGTGTGTGTTCATCTCTTTGGCTTTTTAGTTTCTAGGCATTTTTGAATAAGAAAATTGTCAATGAATGCATTTTTTTATGGTCTGGTAATGAATTTTCACTTTTGCATCAAGCTCTATTTGGCTGAAAATTAGATTTCATTAAATGCACGAGCATTTATTTTATTAAACAAAAACTCTAACAGGAGGCTCAAACTTAAGTGTTCTGGACTTCTTGGTTATAATGCCCTTCA